TTACCCTGTTCATTCTCAAAGCATTTGCTCTCCACGTAAGCCCCTGGCATCAGCTCCTCATTTTTCCCCCTCCCTCGTGAACCCTTGATACATTATTATTTTCATATCTTACACTGTCCGATGTCTCCCTTCACCCACTTTTCTGTTGTCCATCCCCCAGGGAGGAGGTTATATGTAGATCCCTGTAATTGGTTCCCCCTGTTATTCTTTAATTAAAAAAAATTTAAGCAACTGCACAAAAATATACCAAAAAGGTAAAATGGCTCTTTTCTTCCAAGTAATTTTCTCACCCACCAAACAAGTGTATGAAGAAAAAGAATCCCTCCTATTCGACCACTAAGCTAATATTTCCACACAATTCCTTAAGCCCCCAATGCTACACTGTATACTGTTGCAAAATGTGTGTATTTTTCTCTCTCCTCTTGGAAACTTTTCCCAAAGTACCATTAATATAGGTAGGTTCAGCTCATGCTTTCAAATGAGTGCACGTTTAGTTGTACCACAATTTAATGAACCAATCTCCCGAATTCTGAAGATAAGCAACAATAAAGCAGAGTGTACACATAAGGGGCCTCACAGCAGGAAACATACTTTTAAAAAAATGTTAAGACCTTAAGTCCTAAATGGGACAAGGACAAGATGATGGAGACCATTTGCCAGAGGTCCTAATGTCCAAAGGGCTTTCTGAGACAGAGTTTTAGAGAGGACATGAGAGGTGTGTTAGAGCTCAAATTCTGAACACCCTTGTTTGCAAAAGCCTATGGATGGCTGTGACAGCCCCAAATCCAATTGCAGAGTCCCCGCAGAGATTTATCCTCCATCGAATTCTTTGTGATCCTTAACCAAGGGTGGAGATAATCTTGGCCTCAGGCATAGTGCATTGGAAATAGATGACCTCCACCCTCTCCAGCCAGCCCAGGGAAGGAGGAGCTCTCTAAGGGGCTTTCCGGGATGTGTGCGTGATGGAGATCACCAGACTGGGGATAGTACAGGGGTGTGTGTGCCGGTTGCGCCCTGACTGAACTGGTCACAGAGCTCTGGACCAATTTTATAAGCCCTTCTATCTAACATAATGTGTTTGCCCCAATCGTGGCCCTGTTCCTGCTTCTGATGTATTGATTTGCTCTGATGTATTGATCTGCTACCCTTATTGAATTGTGACAATTTCCTTTGTTCCGTGCCTTATTTAAATAGTGCCCTGACTTGAATCCTTCAATGTCATTTTGACCTCATGCTAATGGGCTCCCTCATCTGGATGTGTCTACGTCTTTGTCCCTTTTAAGACTTTATAAATGTTCTCCTTAAATTTTGAGATTGAGATCTCTTTTGTACCCTAAAACAGGTCAGAGAAAACCGTCACACATGGTTGTCAGCAGATTAACCACATCCTAGTTTCTGGTGGAACTCCAGAAGTGAGACTGGGGGACATGATTGGGACAAATACATTATGTGAGACAGAAGAGCTTACAATACTGGTCCAGGGGCTTCCCTGAGGCACTCAGGGCCTGACTCAAGGACTATGCATGATAGAAAAAGACAGGCTGAAATTCGGGGATCAAGTAACAGGCTTGACTGGGAAGCGCAGCTTGCCGGACTGCTCCAGGATGGGAAGAGTAGCCCCAACACAAAGGAAGGCATGGACAAATATACCCTCTTGGGTGGAGACTTGAGGCTGGGGTTGGGAGAGCACCAAGTTTGCATGAAGCGGGTGACATGGCCTCTGACGCACATGGGAGGCTTTTGGTGCGCACGGGAAGGTGTTGGCGGTGAAGAGTCTGTGAGCAAGAGCATGGGAAGGAAACACTTGGAATTGCCAGGGGCAGTTTTATCCTCATCTGAACTCATGATTCCTGCCTTTGACAACAGGGAATAGGGCTGAGGGTCTCATTTTCTGTAACTGCTTCCTGCTGGACAGGGGTGATGAAAGGCTTATTGCTGTCCTGTCTCGGTGGGGTCCAGTGAGTGTCTTGGGGGTTGGAACCCAACCATATACAGCTCTGTATAGGTTTGACTGGTGAAGGCAAAAACGTTTTGAAAACCTTGGAACACACAAGGCTCGAAGCACAGAGTTAGTTACACATATTAAACGGAGAGGTCCTAGGCGTAGCAGGAACCATGGGGCCCAAGATTTCCAAGAACCAAAGATGCTTTCCCCTAACTCCTTTAGTGGGTGTTGGATTCGTTCTTTAGTTGTCTTACCTTTTATGTAACTATGCCTGGTTGATTAATGTGTTAGTCCAGGTAGACGAGAGAAACAAATTCATAGACACTCATAGTTGTATAAGAAAGAGCCTTATATAAAGAGTAATTGTACATTAAGAAAACATCCCAGCCCAGTGCAGATCAAGTCCATAAGTCCGATATTAGCCCATATGTCTGATACCAGTCTATAAAGTCCTCTTCAGACTCACGAAACACATGTAATGAGCCGAATGCAGGAAGATCACAGGCCAGCGGGTGGGAAGTCTTGTGGATCAGTGGCGTTGTAAGCATCTCAGCACTGGCAGGGGTCTCCATGTTGTTTCTCTGGCTCCATCAGCCTCTCTCCATGTGTCCCTCCTTGGGGTGAGGGTGGGGGTGGGGATTGTCTGGTGGAAACAGTTGAGATAGGATCTAAGGAAGCAAACCAGGTTAGGTCTGGTGAGTAAACTGGGAATAAAAAAGTTCCTCTTATGTACACTGGTACAGATAGGAACTGGAAACACAGGGAATCCAGGGCGGATGATCCCTTCAGGACCAGTGGTGTGAGTGGCGATACTGGGAGGGTAGAGGGAGAGTGTGTTGGAAAGAGGGAACCGATTACATGGAACTGTGTGTGACCTTCTCCCTGGGGGACGGACAACCGAATAGTGGGTGAAGGGAGACGTCGGACAGGGCAAGATATGACAAAATACCCATTTATAAATTACCAAGGGCTCATGCGGGAGGGGGGAGCCGGGAGGGAGGGGAAAAATGAGGACCTAATGCCGGGGGCTTAAGTGGAGAGAAAATGTTTTGAGAATGATGAGGGCAATGAATGTGCAAATGTGCTTTACACAATTGATGTATGTATGGATTGTGATAAGAGTTGTATGAGCCCCTAATAAAACGATTAAAAAAAAGTTCCTCTTGTTTAAATTGAAGCCTCATTGGACAGATAAATTAGTTTAAAAATAGCCTCCCCTAAACACCACTACACTTCTCGAGGTTAAGAAACAGATAAATTCTCATGGAGATCTTTCTTTCAGGAGCAAGAAGCTGGTAAGCCCCATTGAGAGGTTTATTAGAGGTTTATTTCAGAGGCAACTGTCCAGAACCTGACTTGACATGACCCTGTTGCCCTACCCATCCCAGAAAGAAGGGTCCAAGGCCACACTTGCGCCCAGACGTAGCCCAGCCCCTTATGAATAACGTATAACTCCCCCCCCCCAGATATTGCATGAGTATGTATACTTTCTTTGTTCTCATCTTTCCTTTGAAAACTCCCTCCTCGACTCTCTTGGAGATGCAGTCTCTTTCTTCCTTTTCTTTTTATCCAAGCCGAAATTCTCCCTGCCTCCGTGTTGGCAAGAAGTAAATCTGCTGCGTGTGCCGTTTATAACCTGCGGGAGGCGGCGGCGGCGGCAAAGGAGTCACTCCCGCTAGAAAAGCGGCGGAGGGAGTGCAAACGCGGCCCCGCGGGAGTACTGGGGATCAAAGTGCCTGGGAAGAGGCGGGCGTTGTCCCTGGGGAAAGTGTCCGGAAACCCGGGGACAAGAGATATCCCTCAGGAATTCTACTGGTGATGGGATCCAGGAAAAGCCTGGACGGAACTAGAGTACCAGCCAACCTCACGCGAAGCTACGCAGGAAGGAGCGGGAGGACGGGGACGGGAGCACCAGAGCAACCCCACCCTGGCGGAACCATTGTGACGGCGGCTAGGTTTCCGGCCGGCGCCTTCCGGGTGCCTCACGCAGGGGGCGGAGCGCGTCGCCGCCGTGACGCGGCGCGCAGATGGGCAGGGCCGACGCTGAGGCGGCTGTGGTGAGAGCGGGAGGCGGTGGCGGGACGACTGCCTTTGAACCCAGCCACCATGAGCAGCACCAAGCAGGTCACTTGCAGGTCGGTGCGCGGGCCCGTGGCGCTGGCCGCACTTTGGACCCGGGCGTGGGGTGGGGGTGGCAACCGGTGCTTTCCCCGGGGCTCTGTGGGATCCGGGAGCGCCAGGCCCCGTCGGGCCCCTTCCCAGGCCCTGCCAGGCTGCGCTGCCGTGGTCTTGTCTCTCGGGACCCTGCGGTCGCGGCCGAGAAACCTCGTAGAAAGTTACCCCCGTTGTCCGCCGTCGAGCTTCTCGGAGCGGAAGCAGCGCCGCGGTCGGAGCGGGAGCTGGGTGGGTGGGTGCGTGGCCCTGGGTCGGGGCCCAGTCGCGGAGCCGCGGGACCCCCCACGAGGCTGCACGGGAGGCAGGGGCGCGGGCTGCGCCGACTGGGCGGTGGAGGGGTCCCGGGGACCAGGCCTCTTGCAGCGTACGGTTTAGCTGGGAACGATTTGGAACATCACAGCGGTAGGCTGCTTGTTTACAAACGAAGGTACCTCACAGCCGTAGCTTGTTAACTGGCTGAAAGTAGCTGGGGACCGAAAGCCCCGCGCTTCTCGGCCGCTAGCTGAAGCGTTCGAAGAACCCGGATGTACCCTAAGCCTTAACCACCGAGTTAGTAAGAATTGTGCAGAAAATAACACAGGTAGTAGTTACCGAGAATCTGTTAAGCGTTCCCCATGGTCCCAAGCCCTTAGACCTCACAACGAAGGAAGAGTTTGGTCCCATGATCAGCAATTGAAACAGTCCAAAAGAGGTTTAGTGATGTACTTAACTCACTGAAACCATGTACTTGGAGAAATGCTCACAACGGCAGTGGATCATTTGTTGTTGAAAATTCAAAACCAGATGGCTAAGCGCCGATTGCTGTTATGAAATAGAAATCGCTCCGTTGTGTGACACTCTCATTCCTTGGTAAGCTTGTTACCAATATCGGAACCCTGCTGCATTGGAAAGTAGTTTTGTTTCAATAATTTTTTTGTTTCAATAATTGAGGTTAGAAAACATATTTCGAAAGTGTCTGAAAAATAGTTGCTTAAGTTGGTTTCGTAATAGTTTATTTAAGTACAATGTATTATGACTTCTCTTCATTAATATGAATAATTGAGAAGTGACTATTTAAAAGCTTTAAATAGTGTGTGTTATTTAAGTATTTAAAAGCTTAGCATTTGTGTGTATTAACTGCTCCGCCAGCTTATATAAGGCCCGAGTGGCTTGTGTTAACAGCAATTTCAGATGTTTGATACATTTCCTGTCCATAGAAAAGACTTTTATGAGGATGTTTTTACTAAAAGATGTTTTTTGAATACCTTTGTGTATTTATAGGGAGCTGTGGTGGCATACTGGTTTCGCTTTCTGCTGCTAATCAGCAAGGTTCGAAGTTTGAAGCCACCAGCAGCTTTGCAGGACCAAGATGAGGCTTTCTATTCCCATAAACAGTTGCAGTCTTGGGAACTTAGGGGGGCAGTTGGGGTCGCTATGAGGTGGCATTGACTTGAGGCAGTGAGTTTGGTTTTGGGTTTAGTGTGTATATAAATTTTACTTGCAGGGTAATTTTTTTCTCCTAGAGGAAATAATTCAAGTCTTCATGAACAAAAGCAATTAACAACATAAAATTTTTATCTGTTTCTCCTTTTGCATGCGCCTAAGATGCCTACAAAACACTACACGCTTATTTTTAGTTGAATCAGAGCAGCTCTTTGTAATATCTAATTTTACAGCCAAACTTTATGCCTAGAAGTATTAGAGATTTGAGATTTTCCCACAATTTTACATAAAAGTGCAGAAACAAAAACTTAAATCAGAATCACTTGGGTGTTTTTGGGTTTTTTTCCCCACCTGAGTCAGGAGATGGCCTGTCTTGGAAACTTTATTTCTGTATTTCCTTAACGGGCATTCTACAGAGTGTAGCAGAGAATCTTAACAGATGCTATTATATAAGCTAAGAATAATGGGATATTGGGAGAGGATCAGCTTCTGTTTAAGGACTAGCTGATGTATGTTTGGGCTGAGTTCTATTTTAAGTGCCCCATCCAGCCATATCTCATGCAGTTCCTGGAACCCACACTGTTCCACAGGTTGTGGAATAATATACAAAGTGGTAGTGGTCTGACATCAGAGTCCATGCTCCCATGAACTCTATGGCCTTGAGATAAGTTTGAGAAACACTAAAGTTTTAATGACACGACTTTTCTAAACTTTTAATACGTGAAAGGAAAACAAATTTTTAGAAAGGATAAGACATTTACTTGCAAAGGAGTACAGGGGAAGGCAGACTTCTGAAGCACTTTGTCAAATTAAGAAATATAATTCATGTGAATTTAGTCCCTGGTGAATCCCCTTTGACCATGGACCAAGGGATTAGCCTTGCTTTCATGCAGAATGATTGGAAGTTTGATTGTTGCAGGTGCAGTTAGGTTAAAATTTAGCACTCATCATTTGATCTCTCCTAGGATCCATTTATATTTGTTGTGGTTTTTAATATTTTCTTTTCATTTGAGATTTGTATCTCTTTTACTTTGTTATTCTTGTTAGTTTTCTTGTGATTTAAAAGAAAAAATGTTTTTCTGTATATGAAATCCAGTCCCTGAACTAATGGTTCCTTGAAGGTATGGCACAAGAGGTTAGGGGAAAATGGGGAGCTAATAATGATGAGTACAAGAATGAAGAAAATGTTCTAAAACTGTACAGCTCTTCTTGATGTGATTAAACTATCAAATTGTATGATATGTGAATTATATGCCAATAAAAATGTTGGGGGTGGTGGTAAAGAAGCCTATTATTTAAAAAACAACAAAATTATAAGAGTACCAAAACTAAGCATTGTTATTTCTTTCTATCTTATTGTTTTAGGTGAAAATTTACATAGCAAATTAGGTTCCCATCCAACAGTTTTTAGACAGTTGTTCCGTAAGATTGGTTACCCTTTTCCACAGTGTGTCAGAGTTCTTATTTCCATTCTTTGTCTATTAATCTAGGTTCCCTGCCCCTCCTTACCTTTCCACCTTTGCATTAGGGTAAACGTTGACCATTTGCTGTCATATAGTGGATTGTGGGAGTACAGTATTCACAAATGATATTGTTTATTTTATAAGCCATCTATTTCTTGGTTGAAAAAAGGTGGAGTGTTTTAAAATGTGTTACTCTACATGAGCAGACGTCCCAACTGCTTCCTGTAAGTCTGTGTTGTACAAGCAAATACATAGCATGGGCATACACACAGCGGTCTTCATTCCAGTCCCAGTGCCAGGTCATTTATTGCGCTCAGCTCCGCGAGGTCAACCTGTCGGCCTAGTTCACAGATCAGTTTTTTTTAATATAACCCGTAAGTGGAACTCTACAGTCATAATACTAGCTTTGGTATGATGATAGATTGGAGTGTGATATATTCTGATGAATACGAATGGGATGATGTTAAGTAGGTGATGAGTTAGCCTTGGGAATTTCTTCTTTTTTTTTTTTTATAATTGCAGCAATTTGTCAACAAGTGCTTGGCTTATCCTTGTCGATCTTTTTTCTATCTATAATACCTAAAAAGCTCAGCACATGTTGACTACAAAATATTTATTTCTACCTCAGAAAGCCCTGCTGAGAAAAGTTGTCTGCAACTTTTGTGACATTGATGATAGGCAGTGTTTATAACAATGTGTTCACATTGCCGATGGACATTCCAGGACATTTACTTGTGCTCTTGCAGAACCAGGGAGTATTGCCTGTATAAATCAGGAAAGATGTGTGGTTGTACTTCTTCCATCTGTGTGCGAATCAAATATTCTGAGAGGCCGGATTATGTGGAGGAAGAATATGGCATCAGGCTTGGGGGAAGACTCATTAATAACCATTAATATGCAGATGACACAACATTGCTTGCTGAAAGTGAAGAGGTCTTTGAACAATCTCACAAACTAGACCAATAGTCAACATCACAATAAAAAGAGAAGAGACGGAAATAGGGATTTCATTTTACTTAGATTCACAATCCACACCTACGGAAACAGCAGTTAAATGACATCTTGCAATGGGCAAATAAGAGCAAGAAAAAAAAAGACCACTTTTGTGTTAAAAATGTTCAAAAGGAAATGCTCTTCATGTCCCTTTGAGCATAAACGTGGGTTTGTCCCAAGCCATGGTATTTTTGATGTGAAGCTGAAGACTGAAGAATTGATGCCTTTGAATTAGGTCCAGATGAAGAATATTGGCTATACCATTGAGTTAGTTAATTGTGCCAGCCTGGCCGATAATCACATGTGGGGCTGGTTGAAAGGCGGAGGGATAAGTGGGTGGTGAAGCCTCGCCTTTCTAGTTCTCGGGTCTCTTGTTTTGTGATGGTTGCACCGGGTGCAGCTGCCTTAGCAGTTCCCTGCTTCAGCTTGCAAGATTGACTTCCTACAAGACATCCCGAAGGAGAAGCCACATGGGCCTATCCCGATGCAGCCCTGGGTGCTGGAGCAGCCATGTGGAGACCCCTGCCAGTGCTGACATGCTTATTCGTTCACTGACTCAGCTTTCCTCCTGCAGTCGGCATCATTGCCTCTGTTTTGTGAGGTGGAGGATTTTGTGGACTGGTGTTGGGTAAATGGGTTAATGTTGGACTTGTGGGCTTGGGCAGCATTGGGTTGGGATGTTTTCGTGATGCACATTTTCTTTACATAAAACTCTCTCTTATACGTGAGTTGCTGTGGATTTGTTTCTCCAAAGTACCTAGACTATTACAACCATGGACTGCCAGAACAGTGATTAAACCTGTTTGATGAAGCATGCTTGTTGGACGTGAGTGGCTACGTTGGACATGTTATCAGGAGGGACTAGTCCCTGGAAAACAACATCGTGCATCTTAGAAGGGCAATGAAAAAGAGGAAGCCTCCCAAGGAGATGATTGGCACAGTGGCTGTAGTGATGGCCCCAACATGGCGTTGCTTGTGAAGATGGCACAGAACGGACAGTGTTGCTTTCTAATATATAGGGTTTCTACGAGTTGGAGCCAACCTGAAAGCACCTAATAATACCAGGAACTGTAATAGTAAAA